CAGTGTGTGGTGGTACCTAAGAGGTGTGGATATAGAAAGGTGTTCAAGACTGATCGTTAAGAGAATAAAGCAAGACACAGAAGAACAGTGCACATGTGTTTATGCAAAAGTGTGTATATGCTTCTGTAGCCATGGGTGACTTCCGGAAATACACAAGAGAAACCGCTAACTTGAACTGGCTTAGTTCCAGAGTAGGAATAGGGGTTTGGTTCGGGAGTGAGACATTTACTCTTCGCTTTACACTCTTCTGTACTTTTAAATTTTTTAAAATAATGAGCATCTATTGCTTTTATAATACAATGATAATAATAAAGTAGAAGAAAAAAAGGCTTAAGAAGGCTTGCAAACCAAAGGTACCAAAACAATTCAGCATAGCATCCAGGAGCTCAGGGGACAGGAGGAATGATGAAGTGAAGTACAAGATGACCCTGTATGTTGGAAACTGTCCCTAGCCACTGCTTGCACAGCTATACTTTGACCAATCAGGGATGGTAACAGAGACAGGGACTGATGGGAAATCACTATTTGCAAAGATGATCAGTGACAGAAAGAATAAAACAAAATCAAGGCCAAAGTTCAGCTGCAAGAACAGGGATTGAATTGTCTATTATAATAGCTAAGACTGGGCACGGTGGCTCATGCCTGCAATCCCTGCACTTTGGGAGGCCTAGGCAGGCGGATCATCTCAGGTCAGGGTCCAAGACCAGCCCGGCCAACATAGTGAAACCCCATTTCTATGATATGTTAAGACATTCCATGTAACTAAAGAAACAAAGAAAAAAAAACCCAATTTCTACTAAAAATACAAAAAATTAGCCGGGCATAGTGGCGGGCACCTGTAATCCCAGGTACTCTGGAGGCTGAGGCAGGAGAATAACTTGAACTTTGGTGGTGGAGGTTGCAGCAAGCTGAGATTGTACCATTGCACTCCATCCTGAGCAACAAGAGTGAAACTCCATCTAAAAATAAATAAATAAATAAATAAATAAATAATAGCTAACATATATTGAGTACTTAACCGTGTATCAAAACAATGTGCAAATTGCTTTTACTTAGTATTATCTCATTTAATCTTCAAAACAACCCTATGAGGTAGCTCTGTTATTATCCCAATTTACAGAGGGGGACACAGGCTCAGAGGGTTTAAATTACTTGCCTAAAAACACAATTAGTAATTGGTAGGGCTGGGATATGTCTATTTCTTGAGGCGGTTTTCTTACTACCTGCTGAATGCTAGTATGTGTTGGATTTGTAGACATCCTTCCCATCAAGGAGCTCCCAGGCTGCTTGGGGGAAGACCACACTAACCTGCGTAGAGTGGATAGTGTCTTGGATAAGGTACCTGTATAGATTTAGTTGGGCTGCAAAGATGGTGAGTACTATTTGGATTTTCAAGTTGGGGAGATCTGCTGAAGGTGTGAGGATGGCTGAGGTCGGACTTTGAGGCTGCAGTGTGCTATGAGCACACCTGTGAAAAGCCACTGCACTCCAGCCTGGGCAACTTGGTGACACTCCATCTCTCTGGAAAAAAAAAAAAAAAAAAAAAAGTAAGTTGGAAGATCAGAAAGGTCTAAAGTTGTCAGTGAAGGTCTCCTGGAGGAGGAAAGATGTAAACCAGGTGTGGAAGGATGGATTGGATTAAGAGAGGGGTGGGGAGAACATTCTAGAGAAGAGAATGCACAAGGTGTGCATAAGTGTGGTCTGTTGATTCTGTGACATTCTTATCTAATCAGACTGAGCTGTGCATATGCAGTAAGCAAGCTGTTACATGTATGGAGGGAAAACGAAGTATTTGAAGTAATTCCGAAGGCTGAAGACTGGCTGAGGAGTTGTGATTTAGTGTGAAAGGAAATTAGGAGCTTTGGAAGGTGTTTTGGGCAGTGAAGAAACAATATGAAAAGTGTTGCTTTCGGCCGGGCGTGGTGGCTCAAGCCTGTAATCCCAGTACTTTGGGAGGCCGAGGCGGGTGGATCACAAGGTCAAGAGATCGAGACCATCCTGGTCAACATGGTGAAACCCCGTCTCTACTAAAAATACTAAAAATTAGCTGGGCATGGTGGCGTGTGCCTGTAATCCCAGCTACTCAGGAGGCTGAGGCAGGAGAATTGCCTGAACCTAGGAGGCGGAGGTTGCGGTGAGCCGAGATCGCGCCATTGCACTCCAGCCTGGGCAACAAGAGCAAAACTCCGTCTCAAAAAAAAAAAAAAAAAAAGAAAAGTGTTGCTTTCGAGAGATTAATGTGATAGAGGTGTCAGGGTGACTTGGATTGAGAAGGGAGCCAAGTGAAATTCTAGGTATGGGGTGATTCAGTCCCTGAAGGGGGAACCAGCAAGAGGAATGCAGAAGGAGGGTCAGCATGAAAAGCTGCTGTAAAGGGGGAGGAGGCAACAGGGCTTGCTGATTGGAAAGATAGGGACTATCAAGGAGAGGATCAGGGCCAAATAATTCCAGGGCCTCCAATCCAGGCATCCAAAGCAGAATGCCTGTGTCTGGTACAGGGAACTAGGAGAGAGTTTTGGCTGTTGGAGGTGGGGTGAAATGGGAGGAGATGATGAATGGAATTTTCATTCCAAACCTTCCTTCTTCCCAAGATGGTAAAGACAAGAACAAGAATTTATAAGAATTCTTTCTGTGCTCCTAATATCAAAGTGACATTTTCCCGCCTAAAGCAATCCTATTCTCTACCCTAAAGTCTGGAGCATGCACCAACTGGTAAGGATATTTGTCAAACATTTTATTATAGATTAGATCCTTTAATAAAAATATTATTATGATCATTCATCTATTTATTTGTTCTATAAATATTGATTGAGTGGCACTAAGGCTGTGAATTTTCAGTTGTCGTGCTCACAATTGAGCGGAGGACACAGACAAGTTAACAGGTGGTAATGATATGACAAAAGAGGATAAGGACCAGGTGTTGTGCCGTCTCCTAGGAGGCATATCTACCTAGCCTTGTAAGGAGAGGTGGCCAGGAAGGGAAGTTTCCCTGATAAGAATAATGAAGTGTGTAAAAAAAAAAAAAAAGAAAAAAAATACATAAGCAGAATATGTTAAAAAAAAAAAAAAAAAAAGAAAAAGAATAATGAAGTGTTAGCTACACAGGTGCATGGGTGAGGATGGGGATATGTGTTCAATTGCAAAAAAAAAAAAAAAAAAACCCTTCTAGTTTATTTATTTATTTATTTATTTAATTTTTTTTTTTTTTTTTGAGACTGAGTTTCACTCTTGTTACCCAGGCTGGAGTGCAATGGCGCAATCTCGGCTCACTGCAACCTCCGCCTCCTGGGTTCAGGCAATTCTCCTGCCTCAGCCTCCTGGGTAGCTGGGATTACAGGCACGCGCCACCACACCCAGCTAGTTTTTTGCATTTTTAGTAGAGACGGGGTTTCACCATGTTGACCAGGATGGTCTCGATCTCTTGACCTCGTGATCCACCCGCCTCGGCCTCCCAAAGTGCTGGGATTACAGGCTTGAGCCACTGCGCCCGGCCTATTTATTTATTTATTTTTTAAAGACGGGGTTTCACCATGTTGGTCAGGCTGGTCTTGAACTCCCAACCTCAGGTGATCCGCCCGCCTTGGCCTCCAAAGTGCTTGGATTACAGGTGTGAGCCACCATGCCCGGCCAAAACCTTCTAGTTTAAAGACCTGGACACTGGAGAGGCCTGGGTTTAATGGGGAGCAGAGGTGGTAGTGTCAAGGAACAATTTATAATCTAGAGACTGGGAAGGGTAGAAGTGAGTGGGAAATAAAGAGTGGTTGGTTAATGGGTACAATTGTATGCTTAGAAGAAATAAGACCTGGTGTTCAATAGATGAGTAGGATGACTATAGCTAACATCAACCAACTGTACATTTCTTTTTTCTTTCTTTCTTCTTCTTCTTTTTTTTTTTTTTTTTTGAGATAGAGTCTTACTCTGTCACCCAGGCTGGAATGCAGTGGCACAGTCTTGGCTCATTGCAATCTCTGCCTCCTGGGTTCAAGTGATTCTCCTGCCTCAACCTCCCAAGGAGCTGGGATTACAGGTGCATGCCACCACACCCAGCTAATTTTTGTATTTTTAGTAGAGACGGGGTTTCATCATGTTGGCCGGGCTGGTCTCCAACCCCTGACCTCATGATCTGCCCTCCTCAACCTCCCAAAGTGCTGGGATTACAGGCATGAGCCATTGTGCCGGCCCCAATTGTACATTTCAAAATAGCTAAAAGAGAATAATCAAATGTTCTAAGCATAAAGAAAGTATGAGTATTTAAGATGATGGCTATCCCAATTACCCTGACCTGATTATATGAGTATATGAAATTATCACATGTACCCTGAAAATATGTACACTTATTAATGTAGCAACAACAAAGAAAATGAAGCTTGGCCGGGCGCGGTGGCTCAAGCCTGTAATCCCAGCACTTTGGGAGGCCGAGGCGGGTGGATCACGAGGTCAAGAGATCAAGACCATCCTGGTCAACATGGTGAAACCCCGTCTCTACTAAAAATACTAAAAATTAGCTGGGCATGGTGGCGTGTGCCTGTAATCCCAGCTACTCAGGAGGCTGAGGCAGGAGAATTGCCTGAACCCAGGAGGCGGAGGTTGCAGTGAGCCGAGATCGCGCCATTGCACTCCAGCCTGGGCAACAAGAACGAAACTCCGTCTCAAAAAAAAAAAAAAAAAGAAAAGAAAATGAAGCTAAAAAAATCTAAAATTTTATACCTTACAAAACTGTCAATCAGAATATGAAAACAGGCAGGGTGCAGTGATTATGCCTGTAATCTCAATACTTTGGGAGGCTAAGGCGGGTGGATCACCTGAGGTCAGGAGTTTGAGACCAGCCTGGCCAACATGGTAAAACCCCTATCTCTACTAAAAATACAAGAATTAGCCGGGTGTGGTGGTGCATGCCTATAATCCCAGCTACTCGGGAGGCTGAGGCAGGAGAATTGCTTGAACCCTGGGGGAGGAGGTTACAGTGAGCTGAGATTTACTTCCTGTGTATCTCCTTCCAGGAAGCTAGTAGAAGATCTCTACCAACAAAACCAAGGAGTAAACAACTTGAGAATAACTGCATGAGCTCAGGTAGGCAGGGACTGGATCAAAGTATTGCATAAGCACAGTAAGGCGTTTGAACTCCATTAAATGCCAAAATTACTTAAAGTCATAATAGAATAATATTCTAAAATTGTGATTTGTTTTCCAACTTTGAGTCCTAGGACCCCTTTAGAGCAACATTGTGATTGGCTTCAACTAGAAACAATATTAAATTAAGCAAATTAAATCGTTTTATTCTAGTTTTCATATTTTGCATTCCTTTAAAAGGGTTGCACTCCTTTTTTTTTTTTTTTTTTTTTTTTGAGACAGAGTTTTGCTCCGTCACCCAGGTTAAAATGCAATAGTACAATCTTGGCTTACTGCAACCTCCCCCTCCCGGGTTCAAGCGATTCTCCTGCCTCAGCCTCCCAAGTAGCTGGGATCCGCCATCACGCCTGGCTAATGTTTGTATTTTTAGGAGAGACAGGGTTTCTTTTTTTTTTTGAGACGGAGTTTCGCTCTTGTTGCCCAGGCTGGAGTGCAATGGCGCAATCTCGGCTCACCGCTACCTCCGCTTCCTGGGTTCAGGCAATTCTCCTGCCTCAGCCTCCTGAGTAGCTGGGATTACAGGCACACGCCATCATGCCCAGCTAATTTTCAGTATTTTTAGTAGAGACGGGGTTTCACCATGTTGACCAGGATGGTCTCGATCTCTTGACCTCGTGATCCACCCGCCTCGGCCTCCCAAAGTGCTGGGATTACAGGCTTGAGCCACCGCGCCCGGCAAAGGAGAGACAGGGTTTCGCCATGTTGGCCAGGCTGGTCTTGAACTCCTGACCTCAAGTGATCCACTTACCTTAGACTCCCAAAGTGCTGGGATTACAGGCGTGAGCCACAGTGCCGGGCAGATTCTGCTGTTTTTGTGGGTTTTTTTTTTTTTTTTTTTTTTTTTTTTTGAGACGGAGTTTCGCTCTTGTTACCCAGGCTGGAGTGCAATGGCGCGATCTCGGCTCACCGCAACCTCCGCCTCCTGGGTTCAGGCAATTCTCCTGCCTCAGCCTCCTGAGTAGCTGGGATTACAGGCACGTGCCACCATGCCCAGCTAATTTTTTGTATTTTAGTAGAGACGGGGTTTCACCATGTTGACCAGGATGGTCTTGATCTCTTGACCTCGTGATCCACCCACCTCGGCCTCCCAAAGTGCTGGGATTACAGGCTTGAGCCACCGCGCCCGGCCTGTTTTTTTTTTTTGTTTTTTTTTTTTTAAAGTCTACAAGTCACTATACTAGAAAAACCTTAAAATATGTATAACTCTATACTACTTAAACAGCCTTCTGCAATTTGGCAGGGACCCCAGAAAATCCTGGGATCAAGAGGTTATAGGAATTTTTTTTTTTTTTTTTTTGAGACGGAGTTTCGCTCTTGTTACCCAGGCTGGAGTGCAATGGCGCGATCTCGGCTCACCGCAACCTCCGCCTCCTGGGTTCAGGCAATTCTCCTGCCTCAGCCTCCTGCGTAGCTGGGATTATAGGCACGCACCACCATGCCCAGCTAATTTTTTGTATTTTTTTAGTAGAGACGGGGTTTCACCATGTTGACCAGGTTGGTCTCGATCTCTCGACCTCGTGATCCACCCGCCTCGGCCTCCCAAAGTGCTGGGATTACAGGCTTGAGCCACCGCGCCCGGCCAGGAATTTTTTTTTTTTTTAAGATGAAGTCCACTCTGTTGCCCAAGCTGGAGTGTAGTTGTGTGATCTCAGCTCACTGCACCCTCCACCTCCTGGGTTCAAGTGATTCTCCTGCTTCAGCCTCCCGAGTAGCTGGGACTACAGGCACACACCACCATGCCTGGCTAATTTTTTTTGTATTTTTTAGTAGAGATGGAGTTTCACTTTTTTTGACCAGGCTGGTCTTGAACTCTTGACCTTGTGATCCGCCCTCCTTGGCCTCCCAAAGTGCTGGGATTACAGGTATCAGCCACCGTGCCCAGCCGAGAATTTTAAGGTCTATGTAAGTGGTCATAGGTTTATGGAAGTTCCTGGAGTAATACACGAGGGGTGATGGGGGTATGATGTGTAGGAAGGTGATAAGGCTCAGCTACTGAATTTCAGCAAGACTATTGGTTATTCTTCCTTCAGCAGCAAAGGTGGTCCCTAGAACATTTCTACTACAACAGCTCTGCTTACCACTTAATTACTAAAGTTGCTTTTCCCAGGGCCTTCCAGACTCCTAGCAAATACATTTTAGAAATGCAAAATGAGGCCAGGTGGAGTGGCTCATGCCTGTAATCCCAGTACTCTGAGAGGCCAAGGCGGGTGGATCACCTGTGGTTGAGAGTTTGAGAACAACCTGACCAACATGGAGAAACTCTGTCTCTACTAAAAATATAAAAATTGGCCAGGCGTGGTGGTGCATGCCTGTAATCCCAGCTACTCGGGAGGCTGAGGCAGGAGAATCATTTGAACCCAGGAGGTGGAGGTTGCGGTGAGCCAAGATCGTACCATTGCACTCCAGCCTGGGCAACACAAGTGAGACTCTGTTTCAAAAACAGAAAAAAGAAATGCAAAATGAGGTGGGGGAAACACAATATGGCCAATGTTCCTCTTCTGCTAAACGTTGTCACAGTTGGAATAAAGCAGTATCTGTATGAGTGTGAGAGTGTGTGTGTGTGTGTGTGTGTGTGTGTGTGTGTGTTTTCAGTGGACTCAGAATAGATTTATGGGTATGTTATATACTAGCAAATCGTGGTTGAAGCCAGAGCAGGGATCCAGGTGTTCCCTATATCTGAAGCCAAAGAAACTTTTTATTTATGGTTTCAGCAGACAGACATTTTCCTTCCAAAATCTCCATTGTAACCTGTATCTACAAGGATAAAAAATCCGCACGCAAATCAAGCCCTATGTTATGATGTTTACTGGTTTTACTGGCCAAAAAGAGGCCATACTCCAGTTCTCCATCAGCTGGGAGAAATTCTTCCCCCACCCTCCCCTGGACAAGTGTTTTCCCTCCCCACTAAGCAAGTGAATTTTAAATACTACTCTAAAGTTGTTGGTTGGTGACCTGGAAAATTCCTTTTGCTTTGTTATGCTGTTAATGGCCCATCAGTTTAAACCTCCTTTCCCCAGAAAGTTTCCCTCTCTTAACTAGATTGGAGGAGGAAGCACAAGTTTAAATAAGAAAAAAAAAAAATAATTGCTGTTTCAAAGGGCTTGGGAAAGATTCAAAGGTGGTATTGTGAAAATTGGATATCCATAGGCAGATGAAAGATGAAAATATGTATGAAAAATGAAATTAGACCTGTCTCTCTCACCATACACAAAAATAGATTCAAACTGGGTTATAAACATAAATGTAAGACCTGAAATTATCAAACTACTAGAAGAAAACAGGGGAAATGCTTCAGATCTGGGCAAAGATTTTATGGGTAAAACCTCAAAGCACAGGCAACAAAAGCAAAAAGAGACAAATGGGATCGTATCAAACTGAAAAGGTTCTGCACAGCAAGGGAAGCAGTCATGAACGAAGAGGTAATCTGCAGAATGGGAGAAAATATCCGCAAGCTGTTCATCGGACAAGAGGTTAACATCAAGAATATACAAAGAACTTAATAACAAACCAAATAATCTGATTTAAAATGGGCTCGTAAGGCCTGGCGCGGTGGCTCAAGCCTGTAATCCCAGCACTTTGGGAGGCCGAGGCGGGTGGATCACGAGGTCAAGAGATCGAGACCAACCTGGTCAACATGGTGAAACCCCGTCTCTACTAAAAATACAAAAAATTAGCTGGGCATGGTGGCGCGTGCCTGTAATCCCAGCTACTCAGGAGGCTGAGGCAGGAGAATTGCCTGAACCCAGGAGGCGGAGGTTGCGGTGAGCCGAGATCGCGCCATTGCACTCCAGCCTGAGTAACGAGCGAAACTCGTCTAAAAAAAAAAATGGGCTCATAATCTGAATACACATTTCTCAAAAGAAGACATACAAATGTCCTTTTTAAATACAGGTATATGAAAAAATGTTTGGCCAGGCATGGCAGCCTATAATCCCAGAAATTTGGGAGGCCAAGGCGGGCAGATCACCTGAGGTCAGAGTTCACGATCAGCTTGACCAACATGGAGAAACCCTGTCTCTACTAAAAATGCAAATTAGCTGGGCATGGTGGTGTGCACCTGTAATCCCAGCTACTCGGAAGGCTGAGACATGAGAATTGCTTGAACCCAGGAGGTGGAGGTTGCAGTGAGCCGAGATGGTGCCACTGCACTCCAGTCTGGGCGATAGAGTGACTCTGTATCCAAAAAAAAAAAAGGCTGGGTGCCAGCACTTTGGGAGGCCGAGGTGGGTGGATCACGAGGTCAAGAGATCGAGACCAACCTGGTCAACATGGTGAAACCCCGTCTCTACTAAAAATACAAAAAATTCGCTGGGCGTGGTGGCGCGTGCCTGTAATCCCAGCTACTTAGGAGGCTGAGGCAGGAGAATTGCCTGAGCCCAGGAGGCGGAGGTTGCGGTGAGCCGAGATCGCGCCATTGCACTCCAGCCTGGGTAACAAGAGCAAAACTCCGTCTCAAAAAAAAAAAAAAAAAAAAAAAAAAAACTACAATGAAAGCTGGGTGTGGTTGGTCACACCCATAATCCCAGCACTTTGGGAAGCTGAGGTGGGCAGATAACATGAGGTCAGGAGTTTGAGACCAGCCTGACCAACATGGCAAAACTCCATCTCTACTAAAACTATTAAAAATATAAATATTAGCCAGGCATGGTGGTGGGCATCTGTAATCCCAGCTACTTGGCAGGCTGAGGCAGGGAGAATTGCTTGAATCTGGAAAGCAGAGGTTGCAGTGAGCCAAGATCACACCACTGCACTCCAGCCTGGGCGACAGAGCGAGACTCCATTTCAAAAGAATAAAACCACAATGAAGTATCTTCTTGTCCAGTTCAAATGACTATTATCAAAAAGGTAAAAAAAAAAAAAATAAATGCTGGTGAGGATGAGTAGAAAAGGGAATTCTTATACACAATTGGCAGGAATGTAAACTGATATAGCCATCATAGAGAATGGTATGGAGGTTCCTCAAAAAACTACAAATAGAATTACCATATGATCCAGCAATCTCACTGGAGTATTAATCCAAAGGATAGGAAATCAATATGTCAAAAAGATATCTGTACTCTTTGTTTATTGCAGCACTGTTCCTAATAGCTAAGATATGGAATCAATCTAAGTGTCTATCAGGCAATGAATGGATAAACAAAATGTGGTATAAATAAACAATGGAATAAAGTACTCAGCCAATACAAAAAAAAAAAAAAAAAAGTATGAGAGCCAGGCTGGTGGCTCACGCCTGTAATCCCAGCACTTTGGGAGGCTAAGGCAGGCAAATCATGAAGTCAGTAGATCAAGACCATCCTTGCCAATATGGTGAAACCCTTTCTCTACTAAAAATACAAAGAAATTATCTAGATGTGGTGGCGTGTGCCTGTAGACTCAGCTACTCAGGAGGCTAAGAAGGTAGGAGAACCACTTGAGCCCAGGAGGTAGAGGTTGCAGTGAGCTGAGATTGTGCCACTGCACTTTAGCCTGGCGACAAAGTGAGATTCCCTGTTAAAAAAAAAAAAAAAGAAAAAGGCCGGGCGTGGTGGCTCAAGCCTGTAATCCCAGCACTTTGGGAGGCCGAGGCGGGTGGATCACGAGGTCGAGAGATCGAGACCAACCTGGTCAACATGGTGAAACCCCGTCTCTACTAAAAATACAAAAAATTAGCTGGGCATGGTGGTGCGTGCCTATAATCCCAGCTACTCAGGAGGCTGAGGCAGGAGAATTGCCTGAACCCAGGAGGCGGAGGTTGCGGTGAGCCGAGATCGCGCCATTGCACTCCAGCCTGGGTAACAAGAGCGAAACTCCGTCTCAAAAAAAAAAAGAAAAAAAAAGAAAAAGAAAAAGAAAAAGAATGAAATCCTGTCATTTGTGGCAACATGGATAAGCTTAGAGGACACTATGTTAAGTGGAATAAGCCAGGCACAGAAATATAAATACCACATGTTCTCATTCATATGTGGGAGATAAAAAAGTTGACTTCATACAATTATAGAGTAGAAGAGTAGTTCTTAGAAGCTGGGAAATGTATCAGGTAAAGGGAATAGAGAGAGATTGGTTAACGGATTAAAAATTACAGCTAGGCTGGGTGTGGTGGCTCATGCCTGTAATTCCAGCACTTTTGGAGGCCGAGGCGGGTGGATCACTGGAGGTCAAGAGTTTGAGACCAACCTGTCCAACATGGTGAAACCCTTTCTCTACTAAAAATACAAAAATTAGCTGGGCACAGTGGTGGGCACACCAGTAATCCCAGCTACTCAGGAAGCTGAGGCAGAAGAATCGCTTGAACCCGGGAGGTGGAGGTCACAGTGAGCCGAGATTGTGCCACTGCACTCTAGCCTGGGTGACAGAGCGAGACTCCATCTCAAAAAAAAATAAAAGTACAGCTAGATGGAAAGAATAAGTCCTAGTGTTCTATACCACTGTAAGATAATTAGAGTTAACAATTACTATATATTTTCAAATAGCCAGAAGAGATGATTTTGAATGTTCCCAATACAAAGAAATGATACATGTTTGAGGTGATGAATATGCTAATTACCCTGATTTATCATTACACATTGTTTACATGTATCAATATATCACACTGTATCTATAAATATGTATAATTATTGTGTATCAATTAAAAATAAGATTTTTTTTAAAAAGCAGTGAAGGAAATGGTTCTGTAACTACCGATGCAGAAATATTTAAATTGAGCAAAACAGATTGCAAATCAAATTTATTACAAAGCACAAAATAACTGCAAACTCTGATTTACCAAGTTTTGATAAGACTAGAACTTGGAATTCTGAATTGCAGTTTCAATAAGACAACTTTATTTTGTCATAGAAAAAGTAATTGAGCCGGGCGCGGTGGCTCAAGCCTGTAATCCCAGCACTTTGGGAGGCCGAGGCGGGTGGATCACAAGGTCAAGAGATCGAGACCATCCTGGTCAACATGGTGAAACCCCGTCTCTACTAAAAATACTAAAAATTAGCTGGGCATGGTGGCTCGTGCCTGTAATCCCAGCTACTCAGGAGGCTGAGACAGGAGAATTGCCTGAACCCAGGAGGCGGAGGTTGCGGTGAGCCGGGATTGCGCCATTGCACTCCAGCCTGGGTAACAAGAGCGAAACTCCGTCTCAAAAAAAAAAAAAAAAAAAAGTAATTGAAACAAGAATAGATAAAGAATAGCAACTTAGTTTTTTTCTCTTTCATCTTTGTTTGAATACAAAGGCTCAGGAAAATAGTCTACACGTTATTTTCAGGAAAATTTTCTATATAAATTATTGTTACTGAAGCATTAATTTTCTATTTTATGGTCAGGTTGCATGCATTGGAAAGGACGTAGTATGTGATGAAATTACCCAAATCATTTGAACGATAATAAAAGTTAAAAAAATAAAGGTGACGGCCGGGCGCGGTGGCTCAAGCTTGTAATCCCAGCACTTTGGGAGGCCGAGGCGGGTGGATCACAAGGTCGAGAGATCAAGACCATCCTGGTCAACTTGGTGAAACCCCGTCTCTACTAAAAATACAAAAAATTAGCTGGGCATGGTGGCGCGTGCCTGTAATCCCAGCTACTCAGGAGGCTGAGGCAGGAGAATTGCCTGAGCCCAGGAGGCGGAGGTTGCAGTGAGCCGAGATCGCGCCATTGCACTCCAGCCTGGGTAACAAGAGCGAAACTCCATTTCAAAAAAAAAAAAAAAGAAAAAATAAAGGTGACTAGACCTCGGATGAATGGAAGGAAGGAATTTCATCTGTTTCGATCTGTACAGTGGCTAGCACTAGGGCATATGTAAGGAGGTAAGTAGGGCCTTATTAAATGATTTTAGATGAAGGTGATACTTTTTTAATGAAGTAATTGCTCAACCATGTAGAATTTTTGTGGACACAGGTCTTCTGGAGGACCTATAATTCTGGAGGCCAAGATTCAAATTTAGTTTTGATATGTGTAAACTAGTAGGTATGTCAATGTTGATGAGCCACTTAACTCAATCACCTTCCTTATTCTCATTTGTAAGGTACAGTTTAACACCTCCTTGGATCTTGTTGTTAGTTACATACCACTTACTCTGTGTGTGTGTGCATGTGTGTGGCAGGTTCAGGACTAAGGACTTTTCCTGTATTAGCTCATGTGATTCCCACCAACACCTATAAATTAAGTACTATTACTATAATATAATATTATGTATTATTATAATGTTATATGTTGTATATTATACTATATATAATTATACAATATATCTTATAAGTATAACTATATAAGATAATTATATATGTTATATATTGTATATTATCTTATATAGTATATATCTTATATATTAATATATATTATATATCATTAACATATACTATTAATAATATATAATACTAATATATATTAATATTACATATTACTATTGTTATATGTTGTATATTATCTTATGTACAACATATATAATATATAACATATATAATATATAACATGTTATATATTATATATGTTGTATATAAGATACAAGATAAGATGTATATTATATATGGTGTATATAAGACAATATATACAACATATAACTATCATAATACATATTATATTAAATATAAGGTAATTATACATAATATAAAATATGATCATATTATATACTTTATATATATATATATATTTATTTATTTATTTATTTATCTTTGAGGCAGAATCTCGCTCTGTCACCCAGGCTAGAGTGCAGTGGTGCGATCTCGGCTCACTGCAGCCTCTGTCGCCTGCCTCAACCTCCCAAGTAACTGGTGCCCACCACCATGCCTGGCTAATTTTTGTATTTTTAATAGAGACAGGGTTTCACCATGTTGGCCAGGCTGGTCTCGAACTCCTGACTTTAGGTGATCTGCCCACCTTGGCCTCCCCAAGTGCTGGGATTACAGGCATGAGCCACTGTGCCCAGCCTATATTATATTAATATGTATTATTTTATGTTATATATTATAATTATTTATATTGTGTAAATATTCTCTATATTATATAAATATTACATATAAGTAATATTATTTCCATTTCAGAGAAGAGTAAACTGAGGCTTATAGAAGGTAGTGGAGCTGGAAATCCCACATGGGTTTTCTGTCTTCTTAGCTCATAATCTGAACCATGCCATTATTCTGTTTATAAACAGCAAAGATCTAAGAAAGCATATAAAAGGAAGCACAGAGTGACCAAATAATTCCTCCCTAGAGCATGACATTTCACCTTCTGCCAGTTGCTCAGGTCATATGTTTGCTGAGTTATCAGCTCCTAATTGAAGGGAGCAGTTCTGCACATGACGTTATAAGCAGACTCCCTACCCCTAGGCTTTCAGATTTCTGCTCTAAGGTTCTTACCACAAAGCCCTATTGTTTTTCTTCAGGGCTTGGACTGTCAGATTCTATTTCTAAGCGTCCAGAAGAGCAACACACAGACATAGGGGAAGTGAGCCTTTGATCTCCAATGCCATCCCCGTTAGCCACCTCCACCACCAGCACAACCACTGAATGGCACTTTGGACAATTTTTCCCTCTTATGTGAGTTTTGTCATTTCTTTTTTCTTTTTTTTTTTTTAAGACGGAGTTTCACTCTTGATACCCAGGCTGGAGTGCAATGGTGCTATCTCAGCTCACCACAACCTCCGCCTCCTGGGTTCAGGCAATTCTCCTGCCTCAGCCTCCTAAGTAGCTGGGATTACAGGCATGCGCCACCACGCCCAGCTAGTTTTTTATATTTTTAGTAGATACGGGGTTTCACCATGTTGACCAGGATGATCTCGATCTCTCGACCTCGTGATCCACCCGCCTTGGCCTCCCAAAGTGCTGGGATTACAGGCTTGAGCCACCGCGCCCGGCCTGAGTTTTGTCATTTCTTATGTCAATTGGAGCCAGCAGCTCTCAAATCCATCTTCTAAAATCCAGAAGTTTGTGGCACACTTGATGACTGAAGGGGAGTCAGCTGACCAGGTAAAGGACTGCCACTGGATTGGAAGGCTGTGGGAGGGCGAGGGGATGGTGGACATCTACTGGGAAGAGCTGAAAGATGGAGTTACCAAGTATCTACCCTGCTATTCTGCATAGAATTCCCAGCACCCAGGGTGAGTTTTTATGCTTCCCCTTTTAGTATTTATTTTTATTATTTGTCAGAATTGTCTTTGTCTTAAAAAATTAATACATGATTGTTCACCAATTTAAATAATATGTAGATGAATAGAGAGAGTAAAAGTATAGATTTACACTACACACAACCCTTTACACTCCTCCCTCATGCCCCTCCCCAGCCATGGCTTCTAGCCCTTTAGAGTCTAGCCTTCCAGATGGTTCTGGGTGAGTGTGTGTGTGTGTGTGTGTGTGTGTGTGTGTGTGTTTGTGTGTGGCATGAGGGAGGGGAGGCATTTACAAAAACATCAGTGAGAGGAGCCTACTCTGCACCTTGTATATCACAAGCATCTTTCTGGGCTATCAGCTCTCGTAGTATTAACAGTAGCACAGTGCCCCACTGTAAGAATGCATCATCTTCCTTTTCTTCTTATCTTTGCTTTCACGGATTTTTTACTTTCCCAGGGAACCTGTCCCAGCTCATGCTTGCACTCACCCTGGGTCCTACCTCAGGGAACTGCACAAATGGGAAGGTGGTCAGAGGTGAAAAGGGCATGGGATGGGCCCCAGATGGGAGAGTGAGGAGGGTGGGGGAGTGTATCCTGTCCTGGTCATTCCTGGGGTACACAGGGAGTTCTTTTTCCTCCTCACCTTGCCAAATGGCTCCTCTGTCTGGCCAAGGCATAATCTTAACAATTTATGGGAATCATCTCTGAAAACGACCAAGAGGATTAGCACCAAGAAACATAAAAGTCTGTTTTCTTAGAGTTAACAATCTCTCTTTTAAGACTCCCACTCTGGGCATCTAGGCCAGTCCGCTGCCTCCGTGCAAGATGTATGAGCAGTCTGGGCTTAGAGCACCCCATGCTCTTCTCTAGGTAGCTACTCTGCCTGCTTAACAACCCCATTAGGTAGAAATCTGTTCCTTGTCACTAGACATGCCTTTCTAGGCATTTCAGCTTACAGGATACAGACAAGACCACTTATTACCTGTGTGTCCTTGATCACATTTTGTGTCATCCCTGTAACCCAGTTTCCTCATCTGGAAAATGGGAATAATAATAATACCTATCTTAGTTGGTAGGGTTTTTCTTTGTAACTTAAATTTGATAAAATATATATGTAGCTTACTTAGGGTATTATATATCAGCTGCTAAACACTCAATGTACGTGGATGATTATACCCTGAATCGAAGTAGCTCTTACTACACTTTATTTTTATTTTTTCTCGCTCTCATGCCCAGACTAGAGTGCAGTGGTTCAGTCTTGGCTCACTGCATCCTCCACCTCCCGGGTTGAAGCAATTCTCCTGCCTCAGCATCCCAAGTGCCTAGGATTATAGTAGGCATGCATAACCACGCCTGGCTTTTTTTTTTTTTTTTTTTTTTCTTGAGACGGAGTTTCGCTCTTGTTACCCAGGCTGGAGTGCAATGGCGCAATCTCGGCTCACCGCAACCTCCGCCTCCTGGGTTCAGGCAATTCTCCTGCCTCAGCCTCCTGAGTAGCTGGGATTACAGGCACGCGCCACCATGCCCAGCTAATTTTTTGTATTTTTAGTAGAGACGGGGTTTCACCATGTTGACCAGGGGTTGGTCTCGATGCCTTGACCTCGTGATCCACCCGCCTCGGCCTCCCAAAGTGCTGGGATTACAGGATTGAGCCACCGCGCCCGGCTCCTGGCTATTTTTTAAAAAAATTATTATTAATTTATTTTTAGTAGCGATAGGGTTTCACAAAGTTTTTGTCCAGGCTGGTTTCGAACTCCTGACCTCAAGTGATCTGCCCACCCTGGCCTTCCAAAGTGCTGGGATTACAGCCCTGAGACACATATGCCTGGCCTTCTTACTGCACTTTAAACCCAAACTTTAAATACCATCTAAGTCAGTGGCTCTTACCCCTGGCTGTACACTAAACTCCTGGAGCCTTACAGAAATCCCAGTGCCTAGGCCCCATTACCAGACATCCTCATACCCGATCTGAGGTGGGGTCAGGGGTGTTAGTGTTTTTGAAAGACTCCCTGGGAATTATCATTTGCACCTAGGTTGAGAAGTACTGGATCTAGTTGAGTGTTCTAATTTTCTAAACAGGAAGCTGTGAGGCCAAGAGATGGAAGGAAACGGCCCAGGTGATATAGCCAGACCAGCAGGACCCAGGCCTCTTATCACGGCTTGTCCTCAAGGGGGAAACGCGGGCCTGGGGCTGCCCTTCACTAGATCTTTGGGATGGGACTTCTGAGTTCTTTCCTGATAATAATGTTTGCACCTCTCCAACCGAGTTCTTCCTAGGACTCCTATCTTTTTTCATCCTTCGACGCCTCAAGTCAGAGCCCTCAGAGAGGTGTCCCCACAGAAAGCCGTTGTTCTAGAATATAACCCATTAGAAAAGTCATAGGACTTGTAGATGTGAAATAATCCTGTTCATTCATTTAGAGACTCTAAGCCCCCTGCGGACAGGAACCGTATCTGTCCTGTTCCTGCGGTGCGTGGGGCTCAGAGTGGTGACCAGCACTTAGTAAAACATGCTCATTAAATGACTGAATGAACGGAATCTCAGGAGGGCAGTTGAGTATTTTTTTATTTTTCTGGTCCTGACCATCTGATTCTCATTACTTCCACAGCTCGGGAAGTCTCTGCTTCGGCGTTTTATAAACCTCCTGTGCGTACGTCGACTTTTTAACCATAAATCCGCAGAGTTTTGGGGCTGGAAAGCTCGAGGCCCGGGGATTGGGGGAGGGGGATAACTACCCGGAGGTCCGAAGCCCCGGCGGAGCTGCCCGGGGGTTGCGGGGAGGGAGGAGAACCCTCGCGGGGAGGCCCCTCCGCCCCCTGCCCGCCCCCTCGGCGGGAGATGGCCCCGGGCCGCGACGTCCTTCAGAGGGGTGCGCCGCCGCCGCGGCCGTCTCCTCCCGTTGGGCGGGGTGGGGGGGTGAGGGAAACGATCCGGGTCGTGGCCCTGGGGCTTCGCTGCAGCCCCCGCATTCCAGCCGCGCGCCCCGGGAGGTGACGCCTTGGGGAGGCTGCATTTTTTTTTTTTTTTTCCCTTTGGAGCCGCGGGGGACCGTTGGGGGAGGGGCCTGTGTGTGTCGCTTTAAGAGCCGGAGCGCGGCCCCCGCCTCGCAGGCGCCCGGAGCCTCACAAAAGAACAGGATGTTGTTGATTTGTCACCAAACCACAGAGAGGAAATGATTGTAAATTTCCTTTAAACATCCCCACCGCGCTCCGGCCGCCCCCGCTTCCGCCTCCGCCGCCCCCGCCTGGCCGGGCGCAGCGGGGCCTCGGAGCTCCCGCGGGGCGCCTGCTCCCCGGCCGGGCCGCGGGCCGAGCGGCTCCCGGGCGCCTGCGGGAGGAGACCCCAGCCCGCCGCGGCCCCCGCTCGCGTTCCAGTTGCTTTCTTATGATTATTTTTTCAGCAGCTGCGGCGGAGGAAGGTCCGTGGCTGCTGTCCGAGCCCGCGCGCCGCCCTTCGCTCTTGGAGCGAATGGGAACCGCGCGCGGGGAGCTCCGTGCTGTGCCTGGGGAGCGCCTCAGCGCGCCATCCGCTTAGCCTCGCAGCCTCCCGGCGGGGGCAACGGCCGTCAGCTCCTTCGTTAGGGTCTGCGGGGAAGCTGAGGCCAGGTTGGTGACGTGAGCGGAAAGTCACTAACTCTTGGAACACACTCTGAAGGTTTAGGTCACCCCAGACCTCAGATTTGTAAATCAGTGAGTCTTACTGCCACCGGCACATTCTAGAATCCTCAGGTCATCAAAAGTGGCAATTGACATTGTCCAAAGAAATGATTGCCAAGTCCCAAGTTACTTCATGGGGGAACTTCCCTGACCACTTCCGGCCAGGCACCCCCTTTTCGGAAGCTGTTTGGGTCTCAGTTTCTACCTGTGCTTTTTTGCACCCGAATCCCTCCTACTTCCACCCCATTTGCTTGTAAGATTTCTGGAAGCTTCTTGTGGAGTTAGTGTTTGCTCCCAACCTGTGGCCCATGTTGGAGTGGTCTGGTCTGTGGTCTAGGAAAGGGCTGCCTTTTCGGACAGTGTTCTTTCGTAGCATTTAATGTTTATTCCGGCATCGGCTGCACGGGGTTTCTTGAACTGACAGCAGCAGCTAATGTCTTAGATGCTACTGGACAGAATTCCCTTATTTCATCGTTTCACCAGTCCCATGAGGTAGAGGTGGTTTTTCTGTTGATACAGTTGAGGAAGCAAGTTCTGAGAGGCTGAGGAACTGAATCGGCTTGCACATTGTAAGTGGAAGACCCAAGACTCATTTAGTTACCACATTCTGATTACTGGTGGTGTCTCTCTTTAATACTTGGTCTCATTATTTGGTTGCGGAGACAGGTGGTGAAAAGAAGACAGGATATTTTTGCTGGGTCTTGTTACCTCCCCTTCCAGGGAGCTCTGGGGCCGGCCCCCACTTTCTGGGAATAGAGAGTTAGGTGGCCAATGCTCTCAGACTGGACTCTTCCCCTTTTCCAGCCTTAGGAGGACCTGAGTGGCTTGGGGAATGAGACGGAGTTCTTTTCACTCTACTTGAATAGGAAAATGCACTCCTTTAAATGATTACCTGGAGTTGAGTTTCTTGTTTCTTTTTTTTAAAGACGGGGTTTCACCATGTTGGTCAGGCTGGTCTTAAACTCCCGACCTCAGGTGATCCGCCTGCCTTGGCCTTCACAGTGCTTGGATTACAGGCATGAGCCACCACGCCCGGCCTGGAGTTGAGTTTCTAGGGCTGAATAGCCCCTGGCTAATGCAAGGCCTCCTATTCAGATTCCCAGCTCTAGGGGGCAATGGTAAGAGCTGGTGAGATGTTTGGAGGGTTGACTTTGCCTATTAGCCAGGCGGTTGGTAACTGAATGTTTCATGTGCCTGCTATGTGCTATGCGCTGTGCCAGGTGCTGTGCATGTGTTTTCTTGTTTCATCCTTAGCAATGAAAAGTTGGTACCCAGAGAGGTCATGCACCCA